CCTGAAAATCAATGTGAAATGTGATCAAAATCAAAGCAGGCTCAGAGGAGCAACCAGGATAGAGAAGAGAGGGTATTTTGCTCTTTTGGATGTATTTCTCTCTTTCTTTCTGACACACTTGAATTCAAACTGAATTCATATCGGAATCTCTTTAAAGTTGATATTATTTTGGGATTCACAGTTTCCTTTGATTGTGTATAGAACTGGAAGGTCAGCTCTGGATATTGAACCTAGTCTTTTATTAGCTGATGCACACACACTCTTTCAGGATAGTGTTCACTTGTCACTAAATAATGTGAGCAGCAGGTTTAGATCAGGACATTAGGACAGGTTTTAAACTTGTTACACAACAGTGCTTTTTTGAACCAGGGCTTCGTATTTTAAGTCAGGACCAGAGTTACAACTTCCAGCCAGCGTGAGCTTCATCATCTTCAGCTGCACTTTCCAGATCAGGTACATCCCTAGTGGAGGTAAAACACAAGGTGGAGAAAGGAGAAAAAGAACGAAAGACAGACAAATAATTTTTCATGCTCGTCTTACAATACTGTAGTGGAGAACAGGCATGGAAATAATGCTGTTAGAAACTGTCCAACACAAATATGGTTTAGAGAGATGAATGAGAGTTTTGGCTGTATCTTGTTGCAGAAAAGAGTCAGACATGAGATGAACCCACATTGCCTCTCCTGCAGAGCCAAGCAGAGGCTGTGGTTTCTTCTGCCCCTGATGGTGCATTCACTTCAGAATTGGTTGAGTCTGACATGGAAAACAGGACTTAAAAAAATCCATTCTTCATTGTCCAAAGCAGAAATTAAATAACTGTAACTTGCTTTATTTGCTGTGGCATTGGAGAGATGGAATAGCTTGCTTAGGTGCTGATTATGAATGTACTCACCCTCTCTTCTTTCCCCTCCTCTTCAAACACTCTTCTATCTCAAGCACTCATTTGATATATTGACCACTGAATTCAATGCATACAACTACTGTTACCATGCACTGTAGTCACAGGAAGCAGTTGTCCAGTAAATACAGCTTTGATTAAGTCAAACATACTTTCCAAGACTAGCTCATATGAAGAATGTGAAGTAAGAAGGTGATGTTTTGGGTAGGCTAAATGTCATTGGGGTCAGTCCGGGGGTAATTTTTGGCAAATGATCAGTGTTATTAATATTATTATTTTATAGATTTCACTTTTTTTTTTTTTTTTTTTACTGGATGTTGCATATCTTTTGAAAAGGCTGCACTGAAAAACTTAACAGTCTCAATTACACTTTGGAAGACTTCCCGTCAGACCCACTTATGTCTGTCTCCAAGTTCAAAGTGTCAGGTCACATTGAGGTTTTCTTAATAGCAAGGAGGCCTTGGAATGTCACTGAAAGAACACAAGACCAAGTTCTGTGGAAAACAGGGAGTGAGGCAGTAGCTACACTTTCTGAGAAAGCTTTCATAAACAAAAAAAAAAGGAGAACCTTTGGTTGTGTATGCACTTAGTCTGTAAGATATGAAGTCCTGAGGCAGCATTATCCACTGTCCATCCTTCCCATTCCCATTCTTTTGCTACAAAGTGCTGCAATATTATACTGGAGGCATGGAGAGAGGAATCTACAACTTCTTTTTCTCCTCCAAAACTGCCTGCAAACTAAATCCCCATTTAAACTTTATAATGTGAGCTATTTATTACAGAGAAAAGGTTACTTTAAGAGCTTGAGTTGGTAATTTCTCTCCATTTTTTTCCTGTGTCTTGTCTGAAAACAGGTATCCTTAAAAAAAAAGAAAAAAGAAGGAAGGCCTGGCTCACCAAATGTCACATACCTCACTCTACATGCACTGTATATATTACTTTCTCTAATTCTTGGTAGATGAGATATCACTATGTAAGGAGAGTCAGTGAAAAGAAATGATTAGGAAAAAACTGGGCCAGTTATTTGTGAAGTTGTGGCGTTTCCTCCCCCCCATGGTCTAACAGTGGTAAAGCCAACAAGATTTGGGATATGAGAGCAGCATAATTTGATTATTGCCCTCTGGTGTTCAGTTGCCAATAACCTTCACTAGTCTTGGTGCTACCTGAAAGCTTTATTGTTATTTTTACAGCAAGGACTGGACTGAGTTCCCTTCTCTCCAGGTGATCAGATTAGGATCAGTAACACTGGTGAGGCAATATAGTAATACCAACTCATCACCTTTCACATACTTAGAATTCCTCAGTCCTATTTCCCAAACTTTCCACCCTCAAAGTAAATTACAGGATTAGCTTATTTATTTTTTCCTACAGTCATGGTACAATAGCTCAGTGAAGTCCATCAATCTCTGCTTTATTTCCCGTTTTCACTGTTAAACAAAAGTGAAATCATGACTAGGAGGCCAAACATGACACAGTGGGAATAATTATGGGGTTTTTTCAGTATGCTTATAGTGTCTTTTCTTTAAGTGCTCCAATATTATTTTGCATAAAAGTCAAGAGAAAAATTTGACTATTCTATCATAACTATTCCATCTTGTGAGTGGATTTTATTGTTAGTGCACAAACAAGAAAACAGTATAAATTTCTATCTTCATAGTTTGTCCAAGTATCTGTTGTCTAAACTAGGCAATAGCTTAAAGGACAACCAATATAAATGATTACCTAGAACTTTTAATTAAATTTGGATAGTTCAAGATTAAGCTGGACAGGGTGCTGGGCCATCTTGTCTACACTGTGTTTTTGCCAAGGAAGGTTGGATCAGATGATACATAAAATCATTTCCAATCCAGTATTCTATGACTGAAATATTAACCATTGGTCTGAGTCATCACTTTCTGCTCTAATTCTGAACTCCACTGGCAGTAACCATATGTACAGACTTTGATACACACTTGGCTAATAGATCTACCAGATGCTTTGAAGCTGGGATTAGGAATGTAACAAACACCCCAAAAAACTAGTCATACATGGACATGGATCAAAGTCTAGAACAGAACAAAATGTGTCTCTCAAGTCTGGGTTTCCATTAGTTTTTGGTTTGGTGTTTTCTCTTGTTTTTTACAAAATACGTGTTGGAGACTCTGTGTTTTATTTCCCCAGTAATCTCAAACTGAACGTAGCTGAGTTTATAAAGAACAGCCTTACATGTGGTTACAATGACAGTATTTTTCTTTTTTTTTTTTTTAAATCAATAGTCTGTTTTTCAACAGTTTAAATTATCAAAGTCCCTTTGATTTCTCTCAAAGAATACTTGTGAAAATATAAGTTACACTAGATATTTCTTCCATCTTCTCTTAATGTTGACACTTTATATGAAATTTTTTTAATGTTATAAAATGTTCTGTATTTATTAATAACATATATATGGTTAATAGTGTTTAAAAGAAATAGCTCTAAAGGCAAAAGATCTGTGGTTTACATTTTATCATGGCACATTGTGAACTGAAGATGTCTAAGTACTCTGTCCAGGGCTGCCTCTGAAAGAGCACCCTGGGTGAAATGTGTGTTAGGTTAGGTAGAATTTAGGAGGGTGGTTTAAAGCATTTAGTTTGGTCTTATATATGTTATAGTTTCCAGAAGCTTATGAAGAACAGAGTGACTCCTTTGCCTTGATTAGACTATAAAATTACCTGGCTTTGTACATGACAGCAGGTGTCAATGATGGCTCTTGGCTCAGGGATGGAGGCAAACTCATGAAACAGGTGGGGAATGAGGCAGTTCAGGATTCATAGGGAACAGAGCAAAGACAAGAAGAGATTACTAAGGTGATAAAAAGGACAAGAAAGGCATTTGCTCAACTGTTAAAGGTTTGGTCACACATGAAAACTGCAGATAGAGATGAGGTGACAGCATGAGCAAATGTACAATCCCAATAAGAACTGGGCAGACAGACATGGAGCTCTTTTCAGCTGTGTTTCACTTTCCTTCATCTGTTAACCAGGAAACAGGTATTACTGCATTTTACACGTGAGGATCAGAAGCAGAGAGAGATTTATTTAAGGTCATGTAGGAAGTCTACAGCAGAAGAGAGAACTAAATCAGGAATTTCTGAGTTCCAGACCAGTACACTAACCATGGGACAGCTCATTTCCTCTCTGTAGGAGACTCTGCTGCCAAATTGCATTAGAATAGAAATTGCAAAAGTCTCTCCTGTTTATATTTCTTTAAAACAAACCTTCATTAGGACTTGATTCAATACATCACAAATACATTATCAAGATTACCATGAAATGTTTATAAATCTCTAAATCCCAGCGATAGGATTGGCTGGTGATGTAAATGAAACTGAGATCAAGATTTAGGAAAAAAGCAAGTAAGAGTTATCTGAGGAGAAGAATAAGCTTATTTGCTGATGTAAAAAAAAAAAAAAAAAAAAGATTTGAAAAAACTCTGAGAAGTTTTTCTCAATTGGGAAGACCTTGTTTGTGTGATTGAATATGTCAGGATAATTTAAAAGCTCATTTATTATGAAATAGAATCCGCCTGTTTGAATCCTGCGTCTCAACAAATCCCCCGAGGCTGTTTACATAAAAGCAAACAATCTGCCAATGTTCAAAATTTTACTCACTTCCCTCATTTCCCAGCTCTTTCTTAAGGAGAAAAAAAAAAAAAAAAAAAAAGGGAAAAAGAAAAAAACTTTTGTGCAATGTTCTTAAACTTACAGAGCTCATACTGCTGCAAGAGCCAAGTGTTGCCGAGCTGCTGCCGTCCACAAAGGACGTTGCTCAAGTCATATATGGAAACAAACTGTGCTTTAAAACCGAATTAAATAAAACTCCTTATGCTGAGTATTATGGATTTTTACTGGATTATAAGTATTGTTTAACACTGTAGTGATGCACTTCATTTTCAGAGTCGACAGTGCATTCCTCAGCTCGGCTCCAGGACAAACAGCTCCTGGCCATAAGTCAGGATATGGTTTTGGTGACTGTACAGACACAATGTGTTTCGATCTTCCTTTTTTCCCTAGGTACTCATGTACTGCAGTTGTCATCAGATCAATTTCTGCTTTTTTCCTCACTTTTAGATGAAGATTTTCTGAGCTGCACTAAATTTTGGCCTACACATTGCCAGCACTGTTCCTGCTCTGTGTCTGTGAACAGCCATTCATTCCCTTGGCTGAGTAGAATCCTGCTGAAGTCAATGGCTGTTCTGTCTTTGACTTCCACGACTCTTGACTTTCAGCCTGTGCCTCAAACGAGCATCAGAAAGTTCCCAGTGACAGCAGCTAAAGCCATGGATTTGATTAAATGTGCCTGCAAGGCTGGCACTGCTGGTGATTCAGCTCTGCTCACACGATGAGACAGGTGAATGTGTCTTCTGGGTGTCCAATGGCAGTCACATACACACGTGTCCAAATGCAGGACTGCTCGTGAACTGAACACAAGGGAAGGTAAAACTCTTCATCTGAATAATTTACACATTTTCTTCTTCAGATTTTTATTCAGCAGCCAAAATCTAGGAATAGAGAAACAGTTGAAAGTACTTCACCCTGGCCTTTCCCGCTATTTCATAGTCATGAAAACATGTGTCTTTTATAAAACAAATGTCTGAATTTCTCTTGCTTCCCAAAAGAACATCAAATGTTTGTTTAAGGTCTATCAGAAAAATACAGACATAAAAATTTCTTTCAGACATGCACATATTCCCTTCTAGTCAACATCAGAACCTATCTTGCCATTATAAATCTGTATAAGGAAGTGGAGATATGGTGCTTACAAGCACCTTTAGGGCTGGAGAGCCTGACTAGGGAAGAGTGAAGCTGTAGTAAGGCTCCCACAATAGTCTTCTTCACTGCCTCCAATGCTCCCCCTCAAATAAAATTCTATATACTTCCTGATACCTGTTACTCTTAAATTAAACACCACACAATTCCCTCCTGTCCTATTAATGCATCCACTTGTTGTTCTCTTCACTTCCTCTTCTCTTTTCTTTGGCAATGATTTTCTTTTCTTGGCCAGGCTTTTAACTCCATATAATTTATTTTTTTTTCTGTATTTCAACAGAACATATCACATGGCAACAGTATCTGAAAGCTGTTCTCAAAAATCCTTTAGGAAAGGCAGGATGATATATTGGGCCAAGGAATACACTGTTTTGTCTTCTGGCAGGTAAGTTGTGATTATTCTAGACCAGCTGTTTTCCCTGTTTCCTTATCAACAGTTTTGGTACTCGCACAATTTCTCTCTCTCAGCCCTTCAACAAAGCATAAGAATTCTGGACGTGCATCATTAATCTCCAAGGCTAACATAGGCTCCAATACCAGAATATTATTTCTCAATTTTATCCATCATTTTGTTTTATATGAACCTTGCCAATAATTTACAGTGCTGCTGCATCTGTCAAGATGAGCCTTCTGCTGTGTTTAAAGAGGATAGTTCTAATATCTGATTGGAAATGGTGTGGAAAAAAATAAACCCAAGACTAAGTCCAGTCTCAATCCTTTTTCTTTTATCAGATCTTTCCCTATATCGTTGACAAGGTCAAAACAGGTGCTCATTGCAAAGATTAATTATCAACCAAGATGTTGATGCTGTAATTCACAGCCTGTTTTCAGTTGTGGCAGGAAATCCCAGCTCACACAAGGGCTCTGCTGTGTGGCAGGAAAACCTGCAAAGCAACACTGGCTCCAAACAGGTTGGGCTGGAAGGGTGGAAAGTTGCAATTTTGGTTGGCCAACCAAGTACCTTCCCACCAGTGATCTCCCTTGTGCTCTTCAGCTCAGGGAGTTCCCACACAATGTCCTGCAATTTGAGTTCTCGGGGTTGGGAATAGGGAGGACGTGGGCACACACTGCAAACCCTGTTTTGCTAAACAGACAGGATTGATCTCCCTAGAATGGGGCTGCTAAATTACCAGCTATTTTCCAAGTGTTTCAGTGAATTCACTGCTTTATCACCATCAACTGTGATGACAGCCAGGTCCTTGGTTTACTTGGCCACTTCTGAAAATGAGACTGCTTTCAAATTTTCTGGTAAGACTGGTTTGGAGATTTTGTATCTTTTCCTTGGTGCTGAGATGCTGATGGAGAATTGCTCAGGTATAGTAAAAGTGAGGTGTAGCTCACGCCTAATCTTTCAGGATTTTCTGGTGGCACAGTGAATGGTCAGTTTGGATTATTTCCTCCTGGAATAACTCCATTAATACATCAGGAATCTCTCAGTGATTGCCCCAGAGACTCACAAGTAATCCACACCACAAGACAGGCAGTTTGAAGATGATGTCTCAGTAGTTGTGTATTCTTTTGGACTCTAAAGAACCTCAATGGGAAAAGAGGCTCCACTGAGGCTGTTATTAAAGACTTTATTCAATCCTCCTTTTTTTCTCTTTTTTTAAAAGAATTTTCCTGATCAGAAATAATTTCACAGAAGGCAAACTTCTCATCAGCTCTTAGCAGAATTAAGGACCACTTATGGAGACAGAAAAGGTAATGGAAGAATGAACTATATTCCAAGGAAGGCCACAGTAGCTCTTACATGTACCATTTCTCTGATCATCCAAGAAGCTATATAGGTTTCAATAAAAAAAAGAACATTTTTAGCTTTGAATGGGCAATCAGTAAGAGACGCACATTATTTTAAAGCAATCATTTAATTTCCATAAGATTCAACCAGCCATTCTAGATCCAGTGGTAACGCTGATTATTTCAGTAGGCAGGTGATGATGAGAAGCATTTAATGTCCATTGAAATAAGCACTGAGGTGGAATCAGGAATCCTTTCATGCCTCAACATTTGATTGTTGCTATTATCCAGGGGAGAAAATTTTCAAGAAAAAAATAAATTGGGTAAAGACGGATTGTGTGTCTAGTACTGAACTGTAACAGAGAGATAATCAAGTACAGGAATTTGTTAAATGGGAATTTTACAGTATTTATTCCAAGGCTGTCTCAGTGAGTATGTCTGAAGTGATCAGGAGGAGGCAATCTGGACATTTAAACACAGAAAAAATGGCTGAGTCATCTGATCCACGGGAACTGTTTGCACTCGTGAGTCTGTGGCCACTGGACACAATTTCTTTCCCTGCAGGAAAGACAGAACCAGACACGCTCCTGATCCAAAGGACCTGCAGTTCCTGGGGCAGAAGGTTCAGGAGCAGCACATGGGCACTGTTTGTGTTCACTGATGAAAGGTCCTGACCCCAGTTTTCATGTGTTATGATGAAGTGGTTGAGCCAGCAGGACCTGCAGCCCGCTGAGCCATGAACCTCCAGGAGGGTTAATTTTGTGATCACAAAAGATCATGCACTCCATGGAATTCAATCAAAATTTGAGGGAATGGGATGAGATGTAGACTACTGCTGCTCAGACCTGTTGGAATCACTCTTTTCCAAATTTAATCAGGCTCTCTGCTGAGAGACACAACATCCTGAATGTGATCCAAGTGTTTAGGATCCTTGCAGTCTACGGATAAGGTTTTGTGTGAAGCATGAGAAAACAAGGAGCATGAAATATAAATGTCAGCTGTAACAGTGGCTTGTTGTTGAAAAATTAAGGCTGTGTTAGAATTTTAATTCCTTCCTGAGTGAATTACTCAGACAAATTCAGGCCCATTGGAAAAAGAAGGCAGAAATTCAATTTCTGATGCAGATATGCTCCTGTCAACATTATACACACGGGACAAATATGTATTAGCATGAATTTGAGCTTGAAGTAACTATATTTCAGCATAATTGCAAGTAGCATGAGCTAAATTAGGTGTAATATTTCATGAGGAATTGCCCCTTACAGTTTATTTACAATATATTTTCTACCCCTGCTTTTTAAACGAGTTTTCTAACCAGGAGAGGGTTTTTGGTGTATTGCTTGGTTTAAGCAATTTTTAATTTTTTTCTTTTTTTCTGATGTTCAAGCCTGAACTCTATTACAAAACAAAACCAAAATTGTTTTTTTAGCATTTACAGTTTTCCCCAGGCTCAGTAACTTGTCCTTCCACTTTGTCTAACTGGTGACCAGGAGAACCTGAGCATGGACAGAAGCGGTTCAGAGTTCCCCCAAGCTAGAAAGTAGAAGCCTGACACATAATTTCTGGTTTTACTATTAACTAGCTATGACCCCAGGCAGTCAGAATTTTAAAATGCTATTAATTGTTCGCCACTAATTAAAGATTAAAGAAAAAAAACATTCCTTCTCGTGTTTTTACAACCTGTAGTGTTACTTATGGACTCACAGGCTGCTGAAGAGTTATTAATTCTTTAAAATTCAGAAGTCAGACTCCCTCCTTCTGTGTTTGTGCTCTAATATCTGTATACAAATGCATGTGGGTGGCCTCTAAGAACCTTTATGACACTTTTTCTTTTGAGTATGTGAAGCCAAACTTTTTCATCGAGCACCAGTACCTGGAGAATGTGGTTGCAAAACTGTGACTCACAGATGTTTTTTTCTCTGCCCCTTACCTTTAGAGGCAGATGGGCCCTTCTGATTATTAAATCCTTCATTAGCCCACTGTTTATCACATCCTACTGTTTATCAAGAGTAACTGGCTTACTGAGATTTCATAGGTAATTTTTCTGCTTGGCTTAAGGCAATACCTATACAGATTGTATTAATTTAGTAAGAGCTGAATAGTTACAAGGCTGCCTATCACACTGATATATTCTAATTAAGGATATAAACTTGTTTACCAGCTTTCTTTAGCAAAGATATTACTTGAGGTAAGCCAACACTGTGAAAATTACTTATAGAAAAAAAATTAGATCATCCTTAATTAAATCTCTCCACAGAGAGACCTCTCCACATCATAAATGAGTGCTCTTTCTTTTCATTAAGGTGAATTTATTTCTTCATCAAAAAATTATCCTCTGCCAGGAAATTCAAACACTTTCACTTAGCTGAAAACCTTGAGGCTGAGTTCCTGCTCCTGGCTGTGGTTTGTTGTTGAGTCTAAAGTTCATGCTTTGCTTTAAGGTAATAGTGATTCTGGGAAAAAAAATAATACTGTGAAAACATCAAGCTTGTTCTAAAATTAGACATCTGCTTGCCTAAGCTGTTGCATTATTCTATTTTCATTTAGTTTACTTTGGTGTATCATGAAAATTTCCTTCTCCTCACTTTTAGATGATAAGGCTAACTTTTTTTATTATTTATCTGCAGCAACGACATATTTCTGCATCCCTATCAATCTCAGGCTGTGGTGGCATGGCTCAGGGAGAGAAATGTTTATCTGAAATGCAATTGTTGGCTATTCTAGGGCTGCTTTTTCTGCTAATCAGCTGGCATTTACTTTGTTTGTAACCCAAAGCCTCCTGATGTTACTTGAAATCTTTCTACTGCTTTTTAATGGACTTTGGATTTGTATTTTATTATATACTTAAATAATAACACTGAAGTGTTTTTACTTTGAAATATGAAGAATTATATGAGGAGAATCAGAGGAAAAAACACCAGAAAAGCAAATGAACCTGTCTACTTACCATTATATATTTGAATAAGGTAGAATAGAATATTTCAATAGAATAGAAGGTTTCTATGTTAAAAAGATACTTTTGTTTGTGCTTTTAAAAGCAGCTGTGCTCTGTTTCCTGATGCTTTTGATAATCAGGAACAACTAATATTAATCTGGCTGTGATTTTGTAACAGAACTGGACTCTGGAAAAGCATGGACATTTTGTGAACTGCAGCAATAATTGCAGGTCATTAAACAGAAAGGAAGATTTTCCCTTAGTCACAGCTTTGATTGTCCCATCAGTGTCTGCTCCCAAGAAACAACAGATCATGTTTTTCATTTCTTCACTGAGTTATCAGTTTCAAATGTCCTCTTATTCTTGGAAAAGATGCCTCTGAAACTGAAAGCATCACCTTTCATCTTAATTTCCTGGAAGGAAAGCCTGTCAGGGCCCACATGGCAGATGGGAAGATGACACTCGACAAGGGTTGCTTTTATGATTTCTGGGGAGAAGAGATTGCTCCAACCTCTTCTGTCTGTTCATTTATGTAGGTTGTAAATGCTTCAGGAGCACAGTCCTGTGATTGTTTTGAGAAAAAACACATAACATCATACAGGAGTATTTCAAACGTGATTTACCTCTGCTCCTAATTAACTTCTGAATTAGAAGTCTCCTGGGTTAGTAACAAATTTGATTAGTTACCTTTATCAATAACATATATCAATTGCCATATTATTTAAATTAAAAGCTGTTCCATTTAACAGCAGTTCACCCTTATTTTGAGCCACAGTTAAAAGTAATACACAGACCACAACTCCCAAACAGAGGCATTCAAAATCACACGACCGAAATGAGAAGTGAAGAATGTCTCTTTAAAAGAGCTGATCCTAACTAGTGCATTTATTGTTTGGTGTTTTAATTCTGTGACTATTTATTGAAGTATTGAGAAAATGAGATTATTTTTTTCGGTTGATGTTTGTGAGACTGATAAAGTCTAAAGGGATAGATCTCTACCTGTTGGCTAGGCCAGAAAATAAGTGGTGAGGTAATACAGCACGACTACTAGAACTGGTAATGAACTCAGTGAGCTAGGGGTTATTGATTTTAAACAAATTATTCCTTTCCAGACCTTGTGGAAATTCTGTTTGCAACCAACGGAACAATACAACCCTTTAGTTTCAAAACCATCTTTAGAAGTGTTTAATCTCTCAAGCCTTCACATATTAAATCCTTGAACATGTAAAAAAACCCAAATAAATAATACCACATAACCTGAAAGCATACAGCAGGCATACCCTTAATGAGTTTTATCCATATAATGGGCTTGTTTTGCCCATTATGGCATAAATATAATAGGTTAGGACAATTTGAAGGAAATTTTTTCTTTTTTTTTAATTTGACTTGAGTAGAATGATTGAAAAGAATACTCGATGAAAGATTTCTTCTGACTTGGTTTTTCAGTGCCTCCATTTTGGAGCATGGAAGAAGAGAAAAGGAGTTAATATGGCTCAGCATTTAGTACAATTTTATAGGTTTTTTGTTCTTACATGTACAAATACTAAAGAGGTGAGTCATAAGAGAGAACATTTTGTCCCACATGTTTAAAATGAAAGAAGATTATGCTGTTATTGTTATGTGTAGAACTGTACTTCCACTCTTGATTAAGCCCCACTCACTACAAATTATCCCAGCCTGGACAGTAATGGTGATATGTTTCTCCTCTGGCCATCCAAAAATTTGGATCTATGCTAGCACAAAAACTGGATACCTTACATAATCAGAGAGGAGCCAACTCTTGATTCTGAAATATCACATGGAGCTTTAAAAACTATGTTATAAAAAAACATTTAATCTGCTATTCATTAGTCAGACAAATGGGTACAGAACTACTACACGAAGCTTCCTATAAATTCTTGATGAGAATGCTTTCAAATCGATTGGTTTGTAGGAAGAACATCCTCAGTGACCTGCTGTATAGTCACATCGCTGTTATTCTATTTCTCATTTCTAAGGGGTACAAAGTAATGCATAAAACTGCACATAAGAAAGAACCAAACTACTCAAAGGAGGTTCCTAACATCTTCCAAGTATGCCTTGTAGTGACATAATAGAAAGAAAGATATCAATAAAGCACCAGATATACACAAGGTTTACAAATGAAGAAGGAAGAAGGGAAATAAATTATTGTCCTGCAGTTCTTTCTCCTGTAGCCAAGTTAGTCACTGTCTGAAGCAATCAGATAGGGTAACAGTATGTGATTAAGATGAAAGTGTATCTCTAAGCAGAAATAAATGCAAATCAATAAACTGATGTAATGAAAGGTTTCAATAGCCACTTCTAATATTTAGCATAGGGTGGCATGATCCATTAGTGAATCACTTGACCAATAAGCAGCATCTTAATTTTTATGTTTATGCAAGCATTGCTCAGAACAAATGTGAATAAGACAGTAAAGAATCAAATCCGTTGTTGATGTTGTACTGCACATCCTGGCATACTGCAAATATTCTGGATTAGACTGGAAACTTCTGAGTTTAGTAATTTTTTTCCACTTGGAAGTTTTGTCTGCATCTCTGATAGCTGGATGATGGATGCTTGAGCTCCCTCCTCCTCTGCTAACAGGCCATGATGACTCAGTCAAATTCAGCTGTTCAAGCAGATGAGCTGATGGTTGTGCTCTGCCTAGGAAGGAATTGCTTTGCAGGTCTGCTGGTACCTCAGAAACCATCAGTTTGTTTGCTATCAGTAGTGCCTTCAGCCACTTGATGGCCAAATTCCTTGGTTAAAGGAATGCCTCTGAATGGACTTCTTGGACTCTTCCTGTGAGCACAAGATCACAGAATCACAGAATATGCTGGGTTGGAAGGGACCCACAAGGATCATCCAGTCCAACCTTCAGCCCTGCACAGGCCCATCCCCAAGAGTCACCCCCTGTGCCCCAGAGGATCATCCAAACCCTCCTGGAGCTCTGGCAGCCTTGGTGCTGTGCCCACTGCCCTGGGGAGCCTGGGCAGTGCCCAACCACCCTCTGGGGGAAGAACCTTTTCCTGAGATCCAACCTGACCCTGCCCTTGCACAGCTCCAGCCATTCCCTGAGTGCTGTCCCTGGTCACTGCAGGGAAGTGATCAGTTAAAATAGAAAAATCTCTCTTTGCTCTTTCTAGTGAAAAGAACTACAATCAAATATGAATATCACAAATTATGGCAAACCTTTGTATGTCCCCCTCCCCCTCCAAACTTCACCAGGGAAATTGAGAATATTTCCCGTTTGTTCTCTCTACAGTGATTTGCCAGGAGCCATGCCTTATTATCAAGGAACAAAGAATTAACTTCCTTGCTGATAGGGGTGTTTAGAAAATAAAACACCATTATTCATAGCTGTACTTCCAGTAAGACCAAACAGTCCCTTTTCAGATGTCGGCAGGTGGAAATCTCAGCAGAAAGATGCATGTTTGTCGTTATGATTCCTGATGACCTTTCTTGGTTTTACTCTCCCCTGATAGTGAATGCCTACTGGTGTTTTTAACCTCCTGAAGTGAATTGTGGCTTGTTGCAAAACACCATTAATTTATATTTAACTACCTAGGAATTTCCTCCTTTAACTGCATTGGCCAGTGTCCCAATTTAGGCAACTCATGCCACAATTTGTGACTGTTTTATGAACTACTTCATGAAGGTCAGAGTGGTGGTTATTGGAATGACAAAGCCATGGGGGAGTTGTCTGCATTCTGCTGAACCACATTTTTTTTTTTTAATGTGAAGCGTTACAACATATTTTAATATGTATATTTTGAATATGACAGGACACAGCAAGTATTTTATCCACCCTCCTCAAGAATCAAGCAAGCCCAGGATCCTGAGACCAGATCTTTAAGGAGACATATTGCAACTTCCATTACTTGCTTCAGGTACCTACACTCTCTAACTGCACCCCAACATGACAGAGCGTGTGTTCTTACAAAACCTATTGCCCAGCTTGGGCAGAAACTTACTGTTTTATCTAAACACTATCAAGCCAGGACCTTAAGGGGACACAACAGCAAGCTTTATTTGCTAAATTTATATAAACAAGCTTTATTTGCTAAATTTGTATGAGCCTTCAAAACCTTAAGCATTTGTGACATCCTTTATTGTGCACTTACTCACACTTTACTATGCACATCATCACCTTCCACATTTTGTGATCACATTTTCCACACGAGGTGTAATTAATTTCTAAAGCAAAATTAGCCCTTATCAGTCTTAACTGCTTAAAGAAATGAGATTGCAAATTGTCCTTCACTTATATGTGATTTAGAATCACAGTCTCTCAGAAAATCTGCTGTAAAACCAAGTTAACAGCCTCAAAAAAGACGTGGAAATAATTCCTCATTTCGTAATAAGAATACTAAATAACACCACTAAAAATACAAGAAGCAGTAGCAATGCTTAAGGAGTGACTCAGACTTTCCAAGACTATAATTTTTCATCTCCATGTTTCTGCTGTCTGCCTATTGGTAGCTTCAGAACAGAGCAAGCCTCTGCCCAACCTCTCAGCATTGGTTATGGACCTCTTGAAACTCATCATTTCCATTAATTTATTTTTTTTTCAGCAATATAATACTTAGAACAGCATGTATGCATCAAAAAATGTACAGTTTTGTCTGATATCAATCCCACCTGCTCTAAATTTCCTTTCTTACCTTCACCTGGATATCTACTTTTTCATTTGAACAGCTCATTCATCTTGTATAGTTGGATCTTTGATAGAAGTTGCTCCTTGGGGGTGGCAGGAATAACACTAATTCCAGAGGACAAGGAATTCCTGAAGGACTGCTAATTTTGAAGAAATGGGAGACAGGATCTGAATAACTGAAGGATCTTCACTGACAGTTTTATTTGACTGAGGTGCCCCAAATCTGATCCTATATTAATAATTTCCATCTGTAGTTATTTTGATTTACTACTTTTGTCTCCTAAATATAAAGACTTTTATATCACTGCTATTTCACTAAATGGAAAGATGACACTTACTGTTATTATGTACAAAGAAGAAAAGGTTTCCAATGTTTTGCAGCAAGAACTGTGCATATAATAAAAGTGTATAGTAACTGTTACTGAAGGCTGCACAAGAAATTTAAGAGTAGATGAAAAAAGAGGAAGAGATATTGTTTTTATTTGCATTCTACCAGCTTTGATGTTGCTACTGAAATGTCTACCTGTTCATTTACAGCAAGGTTGTTTGGAGCTGGTCTTTAGTGCAAAATTAGTGTTGAGTATGCTCTGGACTAATAATGGGAGGCTTTGAGGATTTGATTACTGTACACTTTATCTGCCAACCAGCAACATGCTTCCTCATCCAGAAGTTTTTTTTAACATTTTTCTCCCACTGTTTGGAGTTTGATAACCAATGGGTGGATTGCAATTGTCACAGCACATGAGATGTCTTTTTATGTCCATATCTTTTTATCTCTAAATATGTTAAACTATTGCTGCTGAATTTAAACCCATTGACGGTGAGCAGGGAATGCTGATTCCTTCATTCAAGTGGAAACTTGGAGCAAAAAAGAGCATTTATCTTCCTGATTCTTGGAGTATCCAGGAGCCCAGGGTTTTGCAACCAACACAAGCTCCCCTACACATTAAGAAGCGCTGAAGTCAGCGAGCTGAGCCAATGCCACCACCTCAGTTCTCCAGCCTTTTGAAGCCTTTGAACAGCCAGAGCGACACAGCCTCTCAGAAATACTCCTAAGGGGCTCCTGCACCTGCAGCTTTTGTTTTCAGCTATGTAAGAAGCTCAATCAAACCCTGCTCCATCGTGGTTGATTGGAAAACATTTTGTGAGAGGAAGAGCCACTGCCCTGATGGAGATGACATTAATCCCTCCTGTCCCTTCCCACAGCTCCTGCTCAGGTGTACGACCTGAGAAAGGCTGTTCCCCTCTGAGAAAGCAGTGGCTCCCCAGTCAGGACCCACAGCAGAGGCTGTGGTGGGACAGTTTTGGTCACTTCTGCTGTCTTCATTAGTAACAGCAAATGAATGGAGCTGACCATTGGTCACTGTGAAAAACTTAGTTCTGCTGGTGTCATTGCCAGTTTTCACCCCTCCAACACCTTCTGAAATCACTATCCTAATTAGCCATAACGCTACAAAACCACCCCACCCCAGAGAAGCCACTATTTCAGTTATTCTTGTATCAGGAGCACACAAACGTGTCCAGAGCTCCAGACATATCCATCCTGGTTATGCCAGTGCTTCCTGTGCTGCTGCATTGCTCACAGCACAGAACTGGGATGTGGCTCTTCGAGCTCCTCTTCAGGAGCACTCTGTGATGCCTCTTGTCTGAACAAAAGAGATGAAAGTTTATGTATTTACTTTCCTTCTTTCTCCATCTCTGCAGCAACTGAAATGCTCCTCTCCCTCTTTTTGGCAGAGCCCTGCTTTACTCAGGATGTACTCTACAGGCCTGCCTTTCCCTTCCTACCCTAACTACATTTTTACAAGCACACTGAAACAGCTGTCTTGAGGTTTTCCTGTTCTTCTCTTTGTCTTGATCTACCTGATAATGGTGTTTTAGCTTCTACCTCCCAGACTGCAGGGTCTTGAAGTACCAACTTCATTGCTTCTTTTCAAATGGAATTGCCCCCCCATTTCAGGAGGGATGGGTGAAGAAATCTGTGTAGGACAGAAGAGCATGAAACAAGCTGTTTGTAGTTTGAGATCTCCATCTCTTTTTATTTCTGGGTAGGGAAACATAAAAGAAACTATTTCCCCCTGAACTTTAATGAGCAATAATGTATTTTGAGATGTTTTTATATTTTATTGTTGTCTTAAGAATTTATGGGAATTTATAGGTCTCAATCAGACCAAATTGAGCATTTTTGCTCCTTGTATGATAAAATGCCAAAATCTGACAAGTATTTTGAGGCAGAAGGTCATCGTGTGGGGCTTTTAACTGTCTGTGTAAGTGACTTGAAATACTATTTGAAAGAATGGATTTACCTGGTCTGTATCTCCTCACTGGTGGATTAGGGAGAGGCAAACTGTACCCATAGTATTTAAGGTATGAAGGTATACGAAAACTGTAGTATGTTTGAGAATTTTAATTTTTAAGTAATTGTCTTGTGGCTCCAGGAATAGTACAACTCAAGGCTGTGTCTCAATGGAAGTAAATGTAACTTCTCCATCATTATTGCCCACGAGAAATTCTGTAACATTTTATAACTTGGTTTTACAATCTGACCTTGATTTTATATTTTGGCTTATTTTTATAGAAGAGTTCTTCATAAAAATTCCCATTCAGGCCCATTTAGTAGTCCCAGACACTGATGGATGAAAGAACTTAAAAGTTACCTATAACTTCAAGTTGTAACAGCGTAAGTACATGATGGGAAAGGAAGAACATTTGACTCTCTAGCCTTATCCATAACATCACTAATGCCTCATCTGGATGTGTTCTCACCACTTCTCCAGTGGAGAAACTGTCCAAGGAACACTGTTAGCTCTACGTGACCCGGTAGGTGCAAGGGGTGCGTGTCCGGTGATGTGCCCAGCTACATTCCGGACAGTGTTCCTGGGAGCTACCCCTTCCCAAGCTCCCTGCGCGCTGCCGAAGGCGGCAGTTGGGAAGAAGCACGTGGAAAGCGAAGAGATGAGGCTGTGGCTGAGGACAACCCCTCCCTCGGTTGCCCCATGAGCCGCTACCGCCGTGTGTGCAGCAGGGTGGGCAGGCAGCCGCCCTGCCTGGCCGGGGTGCCCCGTGGCCGTGCCGTGACACGGCAGCCCCGCTCCCCCGGCCGGGGACAGCGCTGCGCCCCGGCACGGCGCGGCGGGGGGAGCCGGAGGAACCGAGCGCAGGGGCTGCGGCTCCCGGGACAGCGCCGGAGGAACCGGAGCGGGGCTGCCCCGCAGCCTGGCCGGGCACGGGAGCGCCGGGGCCGGGCTGAGGTGCGGGGGCACGGCCGGGCAGCCACACGGAGCGGGGCCGGGGGCGGAGGGAGGGCGGGCGGCGGGCGGCGCCGGCCGGGCGGGGAGCGGGGCCGGTGTGGGAGCGGGGCCGGCGGAGCTCCCGCAGCGCCTCCGTCCGCACCACGGAGCCACACGGAGCCGAGCGGGGCCGAGCGGGACCGCGGTAGGGCCGGGGCGGCGGGGCTGGAGCGGGCAGGGCCGGGCCGGGACCGCGGCACTTGTGCCCGCCCCGCCCCCGGCGGCAGCAGCGCTCAAGGGCGGAGGGGCCGCTCCCGGCACCGCCGAGGGTCGCGCTGGGGGCGCGGGGAGGTGGGAGTGTGGGTAGGGAGGTGCAGTTTGGTGCCGGGCTCCGCCTGAGGAGTTTCCCCGGACTTTGCCGGTCGAGCGCTCCTGGCTGGCAGAGATGCCCCTGGCTCCGGCGTGCGCGGTTCCCAGTGTAGCTCAGTAACCGAGAGACTTCAGCGGCAGTTTGTAGTAGGGGTTATTAACGCCTGTCTTTTTTTTTATCTTTCATTTTCTTTTTCTTCTTTTTTCTTTCTTTCTTTACCTTTTCTTTTTTTTTTTCCATGTACCTTTTTTCCCCCCCCTGCCTGGGAGGTTTTCCTTTTGCCAGCAGAAATATCCTGGGAGCAGAGATGGGAGATAAAGTGCAAAGCGACTCGCAGAATGGGTTTCTGAATTGGTCTAAAAACCAAGTTTGAGCTTCAGCGAGGGTGCTGGGAAGTCGAAGGCTTCAGTGTCGGTTAGGATAAAGCTTTGAAACAAGAAATTGTGAGAGGAGAATTGTTTGGAAGATGTTAGGACATTGTTTTGAAAATAAATGTTTAACAGTGAGAAGAGAAATGGAGTGCGATTGTAATCTCTAAATGCTCCAGTTTGAGTATTTCACTTTTTACTGTGGCTGGGCTGACGTATACTGTCATTCTAGGAGTGTGTTGCAAAAACGTTTGTTTAACGTAGGTTAACCACCAGAATGGTTTGTATGGTTTCTCTTACTGCATGTATAAGAGCATTTTGTGTTTTATGTGTTATTTTGTGTATCATACACATGTAGAGACTCTAAAGATCCTGTAGGCTATATTTGCATTGTATAATGCATGCAGATAATTGTTTTACCCCGTGACTGATGCGCTTACAATGTGATGCCATATCGTATCACACAGAAAACCGGAAAATTAGATTTGTACCACAGGCTAATATTATGGAATTTCTGCTTCAAATGCCATTTGAACAGTGGTATGCCTTTTACAGTGTTGTGTATATTTGTTTTTAATATTGCAGATGCCTTTTGACTGCAAGACTGCTGAAATGCTTTGAGGGCTGCGCCTCCCTTCCTAACCATGAACGGTTCAAAATCACCAGGGCTGGCTGGATTTGGAGTCTTGAGGAACACAACCTGCCACACGGAGAAGAAGATCTCAGTTTTCTTTTCAATAATCTTCATGACGGTGGGAATTTTGTCCAACAGCCTCGCCATAGCGATTCTCATGAAGGCATACCAGAGATTCAGGCAGAAATCAAAAGCCTCCTTTTTGCTTCTTGCCAGTGGCTTGGTTGTCACAGATCTCTTCGGCCACCTCATCAACGGAGCCATTGCAGTGTTTGTGTATGCGTCGGATAAAGACTGGATCCGATTTAACCAGTACAACATTCTTTGCAGTGTTTTTGGCATCTGCATGGTTTTCTTTGGTCTGTGCCCACTCTTCCTGGGCAGTGTGATGGCCGTTGAACGGTGCATTGGAGTCACTAAGCCAATATTTCACTCTACAAAAATGACTTCTAGACATGTGAAAATGATGTTGACTATGGTATGTCTGTTTGCTGTTCTTATAGCTTTGCTGCCTATTCTTAGGTTTAGAGCCTACCAAATTCAAGCATCGAGGACCTGGTGCTTCTATAAAACAGAACATGTTGAGGACTGGGAAGACAGATTTTATCTCTTACTTTTTTCTTGCCTTGGGTTACTGGCCCTTGCTGTTTCATTCTTGTGCAATGCTGTCACAGGAATTACCCTCTTAAGAGTCAAACTTAAAAGTCAACAAAGACAAGGGAGATCTCATCATTTTGAAATGATCATTCAGCTCTTGGCTATAATGTGTGTTTCTTGCATTTGCTGGAGTCCATTCCTGGTAAGAGCCTAATGTGTTTGCCAATGTTTAATGCACATCACTGTATAAAAGTTATACTTTTTTATCTCCAGGTTTTAAAGTGCTTGAGCTGTGGTAACAGCTCTATTTGCTCAATGATACTAATTTTAATACATATTGTCCATAATGCATGTACCTATGCATCTATAAAAAACTTGGTAATTATTGTCCACTTCTGAGCATAAACAAAATACATTGAGTAAGCTAAATATATAGGGACTGTGAGGACTGTATTTCCAGTGCTGTGAAGCAGACAGTGGTAGCAGAATGGTGGCTAGAATACATTGGAACAAATAGTGCTTGTCCACAAATTCAGTGAAATCTTGAAGTAGGAAGTCTTTTTAGTCTGAACTGTGGTTCCTGTAACTTTTTTATTTGCGGCAGCCTGTTTGTTGTTATTTTCACTGTTTACTGCTATACTTGTGGACTGTGTTATGGCAGGTAACAGTTAAGCATTTAAAAATCCTCCACTCCATTAACAGGGCGTTAAGGGCTTTGCTTTAGAGTCCTGTTGAGAAACAGGGGTTGGCAGTGGGTTAAAATAACGTTTGGTTTAGCCCTAAGCAAGCTGGGCTTGTAATCTGGACAGCTGACTGGCAGAGCTGCTGTGTGTGGTTGGTGTGCTCTCTCAGCCATCCCAGCTGTATCTTGGGGCTCTGCTGTCACTGCTGTGGCTCTCCCAGAGTGGTAAGTGCTGCTCCTGTTAGGGCACACTCTAAGCCAAAGGAACCAGGATTGTGCTACAGGAAAGAATTTGACAGCTGCTGTTGTGTGATGGCTGGTATAAAGCTGGTATAAAGCTGTAACTCTTTTTAGTGTAGTAAACCTGTCTGGAGAAAATGAATTTTTTTGCTCAGGTCAGAGAGGTTAAGTTACAAGCTGTATGAAATCTTACCTTCTTTCTTAGAAACAAGGCCCTGTAGTTTTCCACGGAGATAAATGAGGAGCAGTTTTGGTTTGAGCTAACAAATACAGATATTTACATCTGAGATTTGTATCAGCTGTATCTCATCTGCTCACTGCCTATGGTAGGGTATGAGGTTACCTGAGTTAGTTCTAAATTAGATGCTGATAGTAGCCTTGCTGCAGCAGTTGGGTGTATCTGGCAGGTAGCATTTAATTAATCCAGTATCACAGACTTTAAGGAGAAAGTCTGGATATGAATGTCTGCATCACTGAAATGCACAAAACCTCTTTCACTTCTATTCATATCACAGAGAATTTTTCTAGTCTTGCTCTGCAGCATAGTTTAAATTCGTGTGGGCTTCTGTCAGTGTCGTGGCTGTAGTGTGGAGAGCATAAACAAAGTTGTCACAGCAGTATAGCAAGTTTTGTGGTGAACTTCCTTCCAGTTACTTCAGACACCTTCTGAAGTTTGTCTGGGGCAAGCCATAGAGTGGTTTTTAAGGAGAGCAACTCAAATGATGACTCTACATTCCATGAAAAAGAAGCATTATCCTCTGGTGACATTTATTTTCAGGTAAAATAATTGTTCTCAAAGGTAGGAATTAATTTGGTTTTTGAAAACCCTTGGGTGTCAGAAGACCTACAAACTTTTTTAATTCAAAAGAGGTGCTTCATTTATTCAACATACGAAGGAACACTAAATTGCAACCACTGTGGTTGTTTTTCAGTGTTGGTAATTTTGTTATGCCTTTCCATTTTTATTAATTGTACTATATATTGTACTAAGGATGGGGTCCTTTGTAGATATTTCCTTTCTTAGCTCTTAGGATGGTAGAGTTTATACCAGTTAATTAATTGAATTACCCAGTCTTTATTTTCATGGCATTCTATTCACTGAATACAAACAGAATTATAAGTGTGCTGTTAATTTAGCAAGGTTTTTTGGCCAGCAGTGGGATAAAGCTTTGTCAGGACATACTGCCTAAGTGCTGCATTAAAGTGATCCAGGGTTTATCAAAGTGTATGATTTATGATGAATTGCTGATTCAAACCTGCTTATCTGATATATCTTCACCTCTCAGGGCCTTTAATTTGTGAAATGAATTATAGACTATAAATGAATTTATATTCTATAATATAATCAGCATGTACCAAAGTAAGTCTTTCTTGACATGAATATGAACAGGTGTCCATAGGTGAAATTATCTGGAAATGATTGTTCTTCAATCATTTGCTTTTTAACTTTTTTTTTTTTTTAAGCTCAATCTAGAAGTCAGTATTAGTCTTTGAATTGTGAATTTTAACTATGTTCTCTATTCCAAAGAGTACACA